TGGCACTGTGACTTGATCTAACCAATGTGATTTAAGTGGAAGTTTTTAAGAACTGAGGTGTGATTCTCCAAGGGAATGGCAACAGCAATTGCTGATATGGCAGTACCATAGGATGGAAGCATCCTGGAACACTGAGCCAACACGTGGAGGACAGCTGCTCTGCAGGGCTGCCCAGACCACACCCATAGTGTGATTAAGAAAGAGACTTTTGTCGTGTCCTTCTGCTGGGATTCAGAGGTGATTTATTACTATAGCATCATCTAGATGATTCTGACTGATACATATTCAGAGTTGTATAAGGTGGATCTGAAAAATACTACAATGTAAAAACAAGAGCTCTGACAGAGGAATGTCCAAAGTAATGCAGGACACCTAATACTGCTGGGAGTAATAGCCAGGAAGAGAATCAAAGAGGAGGTAGTATTGGAGCCAGACTGTGAGAGCCAAGATAGAGAGATGGATGAAAACATCCAAAGGGCAATTGCGTGTTCCCCACGTGGGAAAAGACAGATGTACTGAGACAGTTTGGGCAAAGGCACAGAGGTGTAAAAACTCCTGGGTATTCTGGGAAGAATAAGAGCTAGCATACCCTACAGAACTTCTCCCCAGTTTTCCACGTAGAACATTTCTTCATAGAACATATAGGCCTTTCAGGACTTCCCTGGTGGTCCAGTGGTTAAGAATCTGCCTTTCAATGCAGGGGACTCAGGTTTGATCCCAGGTCGGAGAACTAAGATCCCACATGCCACGGGGCAACTACTGAGCCCACACACCACAACTAGAGAGCCTGTGGGCCGCAGCTACAGAGTCCACATGCTCTGGAGCTCGCATGCCAAAACTAGAGAGAAGGCCGCGCCACACAGGGAAAGATCCCACGTGCCGCAACTAAGACCCAACACAGCCAAAAATAAATAAATAAATAAATAAAATTTTTTTTAAAAAAAGATCTGTAATAAAGAACTAATAGAAAAAAAAAGAACCTATATGCCTTTCAATACAATCCTTTTCTCCCAATACTTACATAGGGAAAATATTAGATAGATGTCCCCCAAACTCAATGCATTTTTTTTTGTGTGTGTGGTACACGGGCCTCTCACTGCTGCGGCCTCTCCTGTTGCGGAGCACAGGCTCCGGACACGCAGGCTCAGCGGCCATGGCTCACGGGCCCAACCGCTCCGCAGCACGTGGGATCTTCCCGGACTGGGGCACGAACCCGTGTCCCGCGCATCGGCAGGCAGACTCTCAACCACTGCACCACCAGGGAAGCCCTTAACGCATTTTTAAACAAAGTGATGAGGGAGGGAGCTCAACAGAGAAAGCCTTTAGGTTTATTCCAAATATATTGGTAGCATATCAAAGTTCACAGAAGACAATTGGAAAGGCTCTGAATGTCAACTAAAGGGACAGGTAGCATGTTATATGGATAAAGAGGCCATATTAATGGTTTAGTGATCAGGAAGTACAGTTTTAAATATTTTACATCCTTATTTTACCACAATTTATTAAATAAATAAATACAGAAATATAAAATTTAAAATATTTTACAACCTAACATGTTAGCTTGTTGCTTATATACAGGAATTTTACTGTGTTTTGTGTTTTATGCTTGGAAAATTAGTTGAGGATTTTGGATTGAGATGTAATGCATGAAAAATTTTCCCATTTAAATAATGAGAATGAGGCTCCTGGTTAGCATTTTCTTGCCAGCAATGTTTAATGAGAGATGCCTGTATTTCTGAATGGCAGGGCTTGGAGGGGACAAAGGTATGACCTGTGAAGGAGATGGACCTGAGAGCCAGAGGTTTTTATGCCCAGAAGTGACATATGGCCGTGAGTGTATTTTATCAAAAGCCCTGACTTGACAGTCATGAGGAGAGCCTAAAGTAGGGAGCTGGTGATGGCTTGAGTCTAGGTGAGAAGCAAGGGCCTCAACTGAGGCAGTGGGGATGGAAAGGGGGAATTGGAGAGACATTTCAGAGGCTAAATGGTGGATGGAAGGGCACAGAGGGTAAAAGTCAGGGAGTCTTCCAGAAAGTTGATGGGAAGGTCATCATGGTTATGTTAGCCAAATAGGGAACCTCAAAGGAAGAGGAGAAAGAAGGACAAGGAGGACCAGCAGCAGCAGGTTTGAGGGGATGAGGATGGATTACAAAGAGGGACTTTGGTTTTAGATGCATTGTGTTGAGGTGTTCTCTGGAAAGGTTCCTCTGTGGCCCTCCAAAACCCAGCCTAATGTTTCACTCTGGCTCCTCCCACTGGGCAATAACAGCGACATCACTAAGACAGACCACAAATAGATGCTCTTTTATTGGGATAAGCTTTGAGAGGAAAAGCAAGACTCATGAAATCTTTCCTGTAACCTGGAGCCTGCCAAATCCCTCTCCTTTGATGCCCTAGGTTCTGGAGCACTACAGTAGTCAGGCTAGGTGAGGGAGCAGTTGATATAACTTGTAAGAATCTCACTCTTTCTGTCCAGGGACCATCTTGTTGGCATTGCTTTTACAGGGAAAGTAGAATCAGCTGGAGAATCATAGTTTCTGCCTTAAAAATCGTTGATGGGTCTTAGAAGTCCCATTTTGGTTAGTTTCATACAGCCCTGTTTGCTTTCGGCTTCTCTGAGATGGTAGATTGGTAAGAGTTCATTAGTGAGACTTTAGGATATTCCAGCCTTAAATCCACAATAACTATATTGGACCTTGATAAAAAAGTGGAAAAATGACTTTTTTTTTCCTGCCAAATTAATTTTATTTTTATTTTAATGGAGTTATAGTTGATTTACAGTATTAATTTCAGGTGTACAACATAGTGATTCCAAATTTTTCAAAATTCTATTATGGAGTATAATAGATTATACTCCATTTATAGTAATTATAAAATATTGACTGTTTTCCCTGTGCTGTACAATATATCCTTGTAGCTTATTTATTTTATACATAGTAGTTTTTGCCTCTTTTTTTTTTGCTGTACGCGGGCCTCTCACTGCTGTGGCCTCTCCCGTTGCGGAGCACAGGCTCCCGACGCGCAGGCTCTGCGGCCATGGCTTACGGGCCCAGCCACTCCGCGGCATGTGGGATCTTCCCGGACCGGGGCACGAACCCGTGTCCCCTGCATCGGCAGGCAGACTCTCAACCACTGCGCCACCAGGGAAGCCCTGTTTCTTTTTTGTTATATTCACTTGTTTGTTTAACTTTTTAGATTCCACATATAAGTGATAACATTCAGTATTTGTCTTTCTCTGACTTATTTCACTAAGCCTAATACCCTCCGGGTCCATCCATGTTACAAATGGCAAAATTTCGTTCTTTTTTATAGCTGAGTAGTATTCCATTGTACATATATATCAATATATACAACACATCTTCTTTATTCATTCATCTGTTGATGGACACTTAAGTTGCTTCCATATCTTGGCTAGAAAATGACCTTTTTTGAGAGAGAATATAAGTTTACAAGGGCAGGGAATTTTGTCTTTTTTATTCACTGATGAATCTTAGTCCCTAGAACAGTCCTGGAACATATGGGAGCTCAATAAATATTTGCTGAATTGAATTAAATTGACATTCAGTCTCTTCTCAAATTGAGTTTCCTGTTTCCTGTCAGTTTCGAGAACAGTCAGCGTAGTACTGTGCTGACACCTCTTCATCATCTCAGCCCCAGCTCTTGGGGCTTGGTGGGTGCACAAGTTGGGAGCCTAAGCCACAGCAGAGTGCTGACTACCATGCCTGTGTTTGTGCTGGAAGGGAAATATGTCTTCTTGCACAAAAGGACTTGCATTCTCCCACCTGGGAATCTGTGTCTGACTGCCCTGGCCCCTCTCCCACACCCAGAAACAGTAGTAGCAGTTGCTTCACACAAGCAGTCAAGCGCAACACGTGCAATCTATGCAGATAATGCCCAGGGTAATGGCACCATCTGTAAGGCCCTGTAGCGCATGGCCACAACTGTCTCCCAGCATGCAGTAGGGCCTGTGATCAGTAAGCGAAGGAAGGAATTAATGGCATAGCTGAATATTGTTACTGGGCCTCTCCTCCAGGTCTCAGTTTTAAAATATATCTTAAAGAACGTATTTTCTGAATCCTTAAGAAATTTCCTCAAGTGGAGGAACTTCCAGTTATGGTACTGATAGTCATAAACAGGCAGATTGGAGTGTTGTTCTGCCTAATGCTGCTCTGCCTCTGGGAATACAGATGGTGGGCACCTCTAGAACCCAGCCTCCCCAATATAACTGCCTACCAGTGCTTCTCTGACCATTGTTATGCCACAGTCAGGTGAGGTGAAGAACCCCCAGGTCACAGTGCTCTGGGCTCCACAAGGAGCATTTCTTCCCCAAACTGGCAGTGGGATTGGCCTGCCACATTCTTCTCATAGGCTGGGAAGAGACCTAGATACAGATTCCTACACTGCCCTCCTCCCCAGGTGAAGCCGTGAAACTCATTTTAATTCTCTGGCCAGTTCTGGAAGGCCCTTATAATCATTCATTCATCACCTCCCATTTTACCTGCACCAACCTAGGTTCTGGGTATACCATGGAGAGGAAACCGGGCTCCAGCCTCTGCCCATGTCCCTGCTACCCCCTTCCCCATTAAGTCCTGCTAGATCTCATCCACCCATGGTATGCCTAGCAACCTGCGACTTCTGCCACCTGGAAGATGGGAATGCTCTCCAAACTTGGCATGTTCTCACACAGACTGTGCTCACTTCAGAAGTCAGACAAAGGCCAGCAACAAATTGAACCAGAGTTGTCTATTTTTGTTTTATTGGAACATAGCCTAAGGTGAAATAAATATTAATTTTCCAAGTTCTCAATTATTTCATAAATAATATTAACAGACATTTTACAGAATGTTATGTTAAATAAGATAGATAAAAGTATATATCTATTTTGCTTAGAGCAAACTGATGGAAAATACTTCAATGATTCTGATATCTGAAATACAGCTCAAATATTTTGTTTTTATACTTTCTGCCTGTGTGAGGTAGCAGTATGCCTGAAATATTTACTTTGCCTCTGAAGTTTCATTACACTGAATATTAAGGCCCCACCCTTGGTTGGCCCTCATCCTTGTTGCAGTAAAACATCCTTCTCCTCCTCCAGAATCTCTCGCTACAGTGAGACAGGTTGGTCTCAACTTTCCATTGTCCACTCGGTGTTTATCACCTTCAGAAAAGTTTGCAGGTAGTCTAGGAATTGTTTTACTCTCCATCTTTCTCCTCCACACTTCTTCTGTGAAAAGAGTAGACAGTAAGTATTGTAGGAAACTGTCAGTTCTTGTAAACATAGGCAGAGCCAGACAAATATACTTAAGTTTCCACTAAATGTTTTTAACTTACTCTTTGGAGGTCTATTATGTATTCTTTTATTAAAAACAAGTTTTGGAATAGTTTTTCCACGGCATCCCCTTGTGCAGTTTGATTCTTCAATGTGTCTATTCCATGAAAGACTTCTTTAATGCATAGTTGGTGCTAAATGAGGAAGATTTAAAAACTATAAATAATCAAAACAAGGTATAAAAATTTAGTTCCAGAAGTTAGTTGTGTTGTTTACATGAGTTCTCTTCTCCAAAGAATATTTTACTTGTTCCTTTTCCAAGTGGCAAACCACTTCACACTGAGTTATAATTTCCAAAAGTAGATAAAGTTTATATAACTACTGAGGAGTTTTACAAATGATATAAATTAACTCCTTAACCGAAATTAAAATGTCTAGGACGTATAATGCAACTACAATACTGATTGAGCTCCCATGAGTTTCCTTTTGTAGTTCTAGCTGGTAATTTTATTCTATTTAGACTAATGAAATCATATATTTTACATTTTAATATAACCATGACATACTCCAAATGTATACAATTCCATTATATGGTCATAATAATTTAAATATGTGGAAATGACACATATATTAATATAGGGCATTCATTGTATATTTTAATGTCTACTGACCATAATTTTAAAAATATAAACCTAACTTGCTAAACTTTCAGAAAGACATGAGAGTGAGAGGAAAGCCATAGATAGAGTTGAATGGAGACTAGGAGGCCCCTCTCACCCAGTATGCAATTCTTCTGGAAAGAAGCACTATTTACAATAGCCAAGACATGGAAGTAACCAAAATGTCCATCTACAAATGAATGGATAATGAAGATGTGGTACATATATACAATGGAATACTACTCAGCCATAAAAAAGAATGAAATAATGCCATTTGCAGCAACATGGATAGACCTAGAATTATCATACTAAGGGAAGTCAGAAAGAGAAAGACAAATACCGTATAATATCACTTATATGTGGAATCTTAAAAAATGATACAAAGGAACTAATTTCCAAAGCAGAAACAGACTCACAGACATAGAAAACAAACTTATGGTTACCAAAGGGGAAAGGTGGGGGGGGGGGAAATTAGGAATTTGAGAGTAGCATATACACACTACTATATATAAACTAGATAAACAACAAGGACCTACTGCATAGCACAGGGAACTCTACTCAATATTTTATAATAATCTATATGGGAAAAGAATCTGAAAAATAATATATATATAAACCTGAATCACTTTGCTGTATACCTGAAACTAACACAACATTGTAAATCACCTATACTTCAATTTAAAAAATAAATAAATTTTAAAAAGCATATATCAAAGAAAAAGACATTAAACACCTAAAAAAAAAGAAAAAAAAAGAATGCCTTACATGAGGCTCTTTGAGATGGAGAACTGACAACATCACCAAAGGGCCTGATCCACTTGTTTAATGAATTCTACTTGTAAAGTTATTCCTAATATTTATAAGTACATACATTTGCATCCACACACACAAAAACAAAATGGAGAAAATTAAATCATTACAGTGATAACTAATGCTTTATAGCTTAAAATATGAAATTCACTCAATCATTTATCAAATCTTGATTTAACTTACATTTGTATGTTCGGGAGTAGGAATCATCAAGTTCTGAAAAGGAAAGAAAATACATTCATGTTTAAAGCACTCTAGCATTCATAACTTTTAGTAAAATTCTTGCTGGTAATATGGTTATCAATTATATAGTACTAACACTCTCATAATTTCATGATTAATGACAGATCTTTAAAAATTAGCCACCACAAATGATTACCTAAATATTTTAAAGACTGTAGGAATCAAAAAGAAAATTACCCCGTCACCTATCAGCAGAGTTTGATGAGTGGAGAGCAGTGTCAAGGTCTCTGCCACCAGTCTATTCATGGGACTTTCTACAGCAATGACACAAACGTAGACAGCTCCAAGAGCCAGCAAACTCAAATGCAGAAGCATTCTCATGGCTCTGAAATGTTGAGCGTTTGCCTTGGCAAAGAAAGTGCATAGTACAAGATTTCATCCCCAACCAATTTATTCTCTCTCTTTGAGGAAATGAATAATTTCTAACAGTCAGATAGAGAATGCTTAATAATGGCATATAGTGAAACTGTTTCCAATGGCTGTACCTTAAAAAATAATTTTACTTTTATCTTTTAATAATAATAAAAATCCCTATTTTTCACCTTTAAAAACATCTTCTATTACAAAAGAAAATCCTTAGGTGGATACATCATTGCCCCACATTTGCATTTCTTAAAATCAGAAGATTGAATTTCCTTTTAAAAGATTTGTGTAAAAAGAAGTATAATGTAAGCCACTAAATAGAATTTTATGCTAAAATACGTAAATATTGAGAATTTCTTTTCACGTCAAGTAAACTCTAATGCAGTTGTAGCCAGGTTGATCTGTCTTAAAAGGAATTGAAAATACTGGTGATTGAAGATGGTGATTAGAGCAGAGAACATCAAAACTTAGCTGGGTCAAGTTGTGTTCACTGGGGTCTCAATTAGGATCCTTTCTGTTGCCAGTGATCAAAAACCTAACCCAAACTGGTTGAAGCCAAATGGGGGATTTGTTAGCTGATACAACCAAATGATCCAGGGTGGAGGCTCCTTTATGTTGCTTACCTCAGTGACCACTGTCTTCATTCTCAGGCAGTGACCCATTCTTGGGTCACTGTGGACCCAAGATGATGTCCAACCTCCTGAATCTATATGTACCCTGTTCATGAGCCTCAGGAGAAAGCAAATTGTGTTTTTCTGATTGCTCAATTAAAAGTCCAAGAATTTAGCCTTGTTCACCCTTGATCCCATGTTCACCCTTGAACTGTGGCCAGGGGTGTGAGATATACTAATTGATTCTCCCTGGAGCTGGAGATGGGCTTCATCCCACCCAAACTTCATACCTGAGAAATTTGGAGTCCTAGGTAGTAGTAAGAGGGACCTAGATGCTAGGAAGGCAACCAAAAAACATCCGTCACAACCACATAACATATGGGCATGGCCTCTCCTTCACATCCCACAAGGGTGGGAGTGTCCTTTCACACCCTGGGTGGGCCATGTATGAATAGGTGTGATCAGGGGAATCAGCCTTTGTGTACCTTAGGCTCTGACCTATAACCCCAGAAGGGAGCAAATGAGGCCCCCTTCTAGACCACACACTTCCTTCTTCCCTGGCTTTAGCACACATAATGGAAGTGTAAGCCATTGTTTATAATGGAGAGTTTCAGTGAGCATCCCAAAGTGGTTCTGTGTTGGTGGCCTGGAAGCCTGGCTTTAGGACTACCTTGAGTATATAGCACAGATTGTACCAAATATGAATTGTTACCTAGAATCCTTTTCCAAAGCTGGATGTAGTTCTGTATGTGAAGTAGAGGCATCTAGGAGGTAGACAAGCCTTTTATTTTATTTTTTAAAGATTTATTTATTATTTATTTATTTTAGGCTGTGTTGGGTCTTAGTTGCGGCATGCAGGATCTTTGTTGAGGCATGCGGGATCTTTCCTTGCAGCGCGGACTTCTCTCTAGTTGTGTCGTGT